TCAAAGATCAAATTCACCCATCAGTCTTTGGTTTCCAAAAGGGGAAAGGAACACAAATGTGCCTGGCACAGTACCTCAGTGGAAGTAATGCACAGGCTTCTTACTTCATAGATTTCAAGGGTGCATTTGACAGAGCTTCCCCTACTGCAATCCTCCATGAATTAACTCTCCTAGGAGTTAAGGGCAAGCTTCTGCTATGGATAAAGGATTATCTGTCTTTGAGAAGAGCAAGAGTATGTTACCAAGGCACCTACAGTAATTATGGTGAACTCGAGTTAGGAACTCCACAAGGAGGAGTTTTGTCCCCTTCACTATTTAACATTCTTATGCACTCTCTTTGCAAGCTTAATAGTGAGTTAGGAGACCTATGCAGCATCACATCCTATGCTGATGACGTTCTCATTCAGGTATTTGATAGGGGGGAGTATGTTCTTCAGGGATTCAGTAAAAAGTGCACTTCCCTTGGACTCGTAATCAACCCTGTCAAGACTAAGTATATTTCCAGATCAAACAAACTGTCATACATTCCAAGATTAGGTGGGCAAGTTATTGCAAAAACTGACACCTATAAGTATCTAGGTGTTATGGTGATTGCTCCCCACCTCATGTCCCGCAATTCCCGCTTCACTCGGGAAATCGTTCAAAACATCAGAGAATGCTGCCTGGAGCGCTTAAGACCTTTACAATACATAAGTAACAGATACGTTGGTGCTTCCCTAAGAGTCCTAAGATTGATGTACATTTCCCTTGTTAGGTCCATGATAGACTATGCGAGCCCGGTTCTTAGTATGTTGCCACAAAATGTTCTCAACCCCTTGAAATCTTACAGAACAAGGCCATGAGAGTCATTTTGGGTTGCCCAATAACTGCTAAAGTTCTTGTCATGAGGAAAGAGCTTGATCTCCCGTCAGTTCACAGCCGTATTACCCAAGTCAACACCATACTCGGCATCAGACTTCTGCAGATTCAGTCCAAACCTCAATTTCCCTTGCATTGTCTAATGAGATTAATTGTAGAGTTAGGCATGTCCGACGGCCTCGATACTCCAATCTCATAAAGTCAAACTTGGAATGGAAGGCCAAGACTGCTCAGACCATTCTCAGCTTCAGTGTGTGGAACAATGATTTTATCAACATCCCAGAAGCAACGCTTACTTCACCATGGCATAGATCACATGTTAACGTACATATTGATAAATTAACAGGGCCAGACTTCAAAAGAGCCATTACTTGAAATATATAGATGAAATTCTCCACCCCCTCAGGGTACCCCCCCACTTGCAATCTACTGTGATGCTTCTACTGATCCTCATGGAGCAGCAGGGATTGGTGTACTAATTCCCGACATTGCTCTTCAAGAAAGTGTGCGAATTTCCAACTGGACAAGCACAACTGATGCCGAGTCAGTAGCAATATACCATGCCATCAAAAAAGGCACTGAACAGCAGCGACACCTAGCTGTCTTCTCTGACAGCCAGGGTGCACTGTATAGACTTACAACATTTAATCCAGAAAACATGGTAACTATCAATACCATTCACCAAATCGCTAGCCTATCCGAGCAGGGTATACAAGTATCACTATACTGGATACCTTCTCATATAGGGATATCAACCTGTGACAACGTAGATAAGTTAGCAAAACAAGCACTTTCCCATGAAGAACCATATTATGTAATACCGCTATCTATCAGTCAAATGAAAAAAGTGTTATCAGCTGTCTTCGAGATTATGAGGGCCAGGTATGGACCACTGAAAAATTGAAGAAAAGTGGACATGGTACCATCTGGCATTATGAAAGTATTGTCAGGTCATGTGATGCTGACAAACCATATAAATACTACGATGGACTGTCTCGGAGACAGCAGGTCACGCTAACCAGGCTACGCATAGGGTATCAATACACTATACATTATGTACAGGATGCAGTTTTGGAGGCAAAGCCAGTTACATATCACCAATGCAAAATGTGCAAGGCGCCCAAGTCGCATAATCTTACACATTACTTACTTTGTTGCTCAAAAACTGCATCCTATCGATCAAATAGCACTGTCCAGAGACCAGCACTTATTGATTATATTAATTTTATCATAGACACTGGTCTTGTCTTCGATATGATTAGGGATATAAAAGGTTTTTTACCAACTAGATGATATGTGAATAATGTATGCATAATGACACAGCCCTTCAGGCATGTAGAACTAATGTTTGACTAATAGCCCTTTACATAAATATAAGCATAGCCAGTTGGATAGATGCGGTAGCATCTTACCCTGGCTTTTTACAGGGCATGTACACTGTTCTGTAAATATATCAAATCAAATCAAATTTTCTTCCTCCACGGTGAATTGGATTTTCTCGTGGACGGAGTTCAGCTGCATTAGTGTATGGTGCAGACATGTCCTTCTGGGGACGATGACAAGAACATCATCTGGAAAATATCGAAGCCAAGTTGAATGTCTGCCGATTATATTCATGTAGTAGTCCCTCTCCAGCATCTCC